TCAGGGGCTCTCGGGGGCGTCCTCCTGCTTGGAGGGAGGAAGGGGTCTCTTAGCTGCGTGGCCTGGGCATGTCCTGAAGTTCTGGTCGCATCTGGGCTCACCCTGGAAGGAGGCCGGGGGCCGGGGCAGGGCCGGGAGACAGCGGTGTCCTCGTGCTGAGGGCAAGAGACAGCGCAGGACCCGATCCTGGAGAGAAGGAGGGAGATGGTCCTGCCAGCAGCTTACTTGTTTATTAAGATAAAACCCACCATTTAAAACATTTCAAGGGTACAACTTAGGGCTTTTTAGTCCATTCCCAAAGTTGTGCTACCATCACCACAATCTAATTCCAGAACATTCCATCACCCCAAAAGGAAACCCCATCCCCATCACTAGTCATTCCCCATCCCTTGGCAACCATGAACCCACTTTCTGTCTGTGGATGTGCCTGTTCTGGACATTTCACATCAAGGGGATCACACACTGTGTGGCCTTCTGTGTCTGGTTCTCTCACTGAGCGTCGTGTGTTCAGGGTCCGTCCACAGTGTGGCTGTGTCAGGGCCTCACTCCTCTTCATGGCTGTGTCATACTCCATGGATGGACCACATTTGTGTATCCATTCTTCCGTGGATGGACACTGGGGATGTTTCCACTCTTTAGCTCTTGTGAATCGTGCTGCTGGGAACATTCATGAATACGTGTCTGTGTGGACACCTAGGAGGGAATTGCTGGGTCACCGGGTAACTCCACGGTTAACTCCTTGAAGGTGAATAGTGGACTTCTACGGAGTTTGGTGAGTGCCTGGGACCGGGGTGAATATTGACAGGGGTCACTGAGCGCTCATGACCTCCCCAAGAGGCAGGTCCATGTGAGGGCCATCGCCTCTCCTGCGCCCAAGGCTGGTGGGGGTTGAAATGATGAGCTTCCGTTCCACCTGGTGGGCAGCCAATGCCCTGACCCCTTGTTCCCTGCCCCGCCCCCAGAAACCAAAGGGTCCCCACCAGGCACCGCGGAGGCCTCCCTGACCCCTTTCTGAGCCGAGGCCCCTTCCCATGCCCATTCCGAGTGCTCACAGATCTGCTGGATGGTTGTTAAATATTTGAACCTTGACCCCAGCCCACACCCCCAGCCAGGCTGGTCTCCTTCAGGTCAGGGGCTGGTGATATGTGGTCCCCCCCGCCCCCCCCATGCCTCTGTGCCCCCAGGGCCCTCGGCAGGGACACCCAGTCCCCAGGGGGCCGCCTTGCATTGGCTCCAGGGCGCGGTGAGCTCTCTCCAGCACCGAGGCTGGGCTCCAGGCTCCCGGAAGAGTCGGGGGGCTGCTCCTCTGTCTTTCAGGCCCCCCACAGGGAACGGCACAAGAGCCCGGCTCTCTGGGAACCGCAGACACCGATGGAGGTGGAGGAGAGAGCTGGGCTGGGGGAGCTGCGTGCGGAGATGGGGGTCTGTCCCCAGGGAGGTCGGTGTCTCTGGATGGGCCTCCTGTCCCCTTGGACAGGTCTCCTAACCTCTCTGAGCTCTGGGCCTGATATGCACATGGGGGTCCTGCTGCCCCGGGTCGGGGTGGGCGATGGCGAAGGGGGTCCCCCCCTCACCTGAGGCCCGCTTCTCCAGGTGGCTCTGCAGGCAGCCTCCCTCTGTCCCCCGGGAAGCCTGGGCAGAAACCCGACACTTGGCCTCGGTTGAGGCTGCCCCGGCGCCCAGGCCTCTCCCCCCACCTTCCTCCCCAGAGCCACCCTGTCGTTGCCACGGGGACCGCAGGACGGGCAGGTCCTCCAGCCACTGGCTGGCGGCTCCAGGTGCGGCCTGGGGCGCGCACACCTGGTCATAGGAGCCGAAGGCCCTGCTGGTTTCGTTTTGAGCGCGGCCCCTCCCCTTCCTCACCCCACTCCCCGCGGACCCCCGAGTTCTGGGAAAGCCTGTCTCAGCTTCCTCTGAACTTGGTTAACCCGGACTCCACGGCCCCGAGCGGGGGGCAAGTTCCGCCTCCCGGACCTGAGGCTTCCTGCCCTGCACACACCTCCCTCAGTCCCCCGAGGCCGCCGAGCACACAGCTCCCGACTCCCTACCTTCTAGAAGGTTCTGGGCCCACACCCCCTGCCACACCAGGCTCTGGACACAGGAGACCGGGTGGCTGCAGGGTCTGACGTCTGCTGCGGGGAGACTGTGGCCTCCTACACCGTCAACTTGGGGAGGGGTTTGGGCCAAATCAGGGTCCCCCCTCGGCACTGCGGACATGGGGGCCAGGTCACTCTCTGTGGGGCCGTCCTGGGCTCTGTGGGGGTGAGCAGCATCCTTGGCCCCCACCCCCCCGATGCCAGGAGCACCCCCAGTGTGACAGCCACAGATGTCCCCGACACCGCCCAGTGTCCCCGAGGGGGCAGAACTGCCCCCATGAGACCCAGGGGCCTAAAAGTCAGCTGGGGTGTGCCGCTGGTTCTGCGGGCCCTTTTCCTTTCCGTTTCTCTGCCTGCCCCGCCCCGGAGAAGGGAAGGCGACCCGTCCCAGGGGACGGGAGTTCCTCAGGATGAAGGGCAGGGCCGGCCTGCGCGGGGTCTGAGGACATGGACTGTTTGGGTGGAGCCCGCCTCGTCAGAGGCCACCGCCGGCTGCGGAGCCAGGTGACTCCGAGGGCCGCCCGTGGGCTGGCGAGCGACCGGCTCCGGGCTCTGGGCTCCGGGCACGAATGCCACGGAGGGGACCAGGCGGGGACAGAGCTCGCTCTCCGAGGACACAGGAGACGGCGCACGTGGTCACGTAAAGTGCTGTTTATGATGATGACAATGTTGACCTGAAAGAAAACCCGCACAGACACGACACTCGGTGTCTTCTTCCAAACCCAGCGCCCGAGAGTGAACACAGGGCACAGACAAAAGAGCCGCCGGTGAGCGCGAGTCCGCAGCCCCAATCCGTTTCCTGATTGGTTTCTCTTTTTTGGGACAGAGGTCAGACAGGGGGTGCTGGGGGTCACCGTGTGGGCATGTCCACAGGTGGCCCTGAACAGTCACGAGACTCCCGGACACCGTGGTGCAGGGCCCTCGGGCTCAGAACCCCAGGGAGGGCCCGGGAGCGCCCGGCGGCCCGGCCCCACCGCTGCCTGGACGCCAGGGGTCAGGAGACCCCAAGCCCACGGCTGTTGCGTGGCTCTCGCAGAGAGGCCTGCTCCCACGCAAGAGACCCTGTGAGCATGTCCCCGCTCGGGGAGCAGTGTCCCCAGGCCTGTCTGCAGCTGCCTTTGGCCAGATGGTTGGGAGCAGCCAGGCCCGGGCAGCTGGGAACCTGGATCAGAGGCTCCAAGTGTAGGTGTCTGCAGGAGTGGGGGCGACGGCTGGACACCCAGAAACTGTCAGCAGTCAGACGTGCTCTCGCCATGGTTCCCAAGCAACAGAACGGTCCAGCCAACAGTGGCCCATGCTGGGCTGCCCTCGTCCATGGCTGCTCGTGGAGGCACCCTGTTTCCGAGCCATCTCCCTGTCCCTCATACCCTGGGGGCCGTACTGCGCCCACCCCCAAATTCTCCCACTCCCCTAGGGCCCGGTCCTCATGGTTTCACCCCAGCTCTGTCAACGGGAGTCAGCCCGGCCCTGAGCCCTGCTGTGTTCAGGACAGGCCCAAAGATGCGGCCCGGCTGTGACCACCGGCGCCAGGTACCCTGGGACCAAGACGCTGAATCATGGTTCACACGTCAGGCCCCCCTACCCCCCTGAGGAAGCTCCGGAGGGAGTCAGGGGCCCACAGAGCGACACCTTCGTAACTTTCAGTTATCTTTTTTATTCTTTTCTAGACCAGATGAGACTTGGGGGGTAAACTATGAAGAGGCAGAAACCCGGAAAGCTGGCTGAAGAAGCCACCACCTCGTCTCCTCTTTGGTGTCCACAGAAAAACAACACAGGAGACTAGAAAGGTCTCCCTAAGAAGAAAAGGATCCAGCAGTTCCCAGAGGACCACAAGCCCCGGCCGTCCACTGCGCCGCCTCCTGAAGCACAGGGCCAGTGGGGCCTGCACAGGCCCGTCCCTCCCTGGGAGCCCTTCCCCTGCAATTTGCCACAGATAAGGATCAGCTACTTTCAGGCCTTCAGGAAGTATTGAGGGGGGCAGCTCACAGCTTCAGCATCTTCAGAGCGCACGGAGGAGGGGCTGCCTTAGATGCAGGCCTACCCTCCGCCACTGCCTACTGCCCAGTGGCGGCCTTCTCCGTCTGCGGTGGCACAGGCCAGAAGGCGGAGAGGCCAGGCGCAGGCCACAGCAGAGGCCTGGCTGGACAGCCCAACAGCCACGGCCGCCAGGACGACCTCTCTCCTGCCGTTGCGTTTCCAACTGGCTGCAGCTCAACGGTTCGAAGGCTTGCGAGTGACGTGCCCGGGGTGACATGCCCGGGGCGTCACGTCTGATTCGCGGGGCGCGTGGAGGTGACAGCGAGCCGCCCGCCCACGTCTGTGGGCCTGCAGGCGCGGGGGAGCACGGCCTTATCTGGGGATCTGCTGGGGTTTCAACCGCACGACGGCTTGGAAACCAACACTTCCTTCCCGCCGAGGCGAGCGGCAGCGCGGCGGCGGCGGCGGAGCCGGTCTGCTCCGGCTCAGGAGAGAGGGCAGTCCCTCCCAGGGGCAGGCCGCGCTCCACCGAGGCCACGCGGGCCGTACGACAAGGGGCCGGGCCTGGGGCAGGGGCAGGGAGTGGACCCCATGACGGCTCTGCGGGGCCTGCGGGGGAGCCCCCCAAGGGGCAGAGGTCAGGCGAGGGGTGACCGAGAAACGAGGCAGTGGCGTGTCCCCTCTTCTGGTGAAGGACGCCGGCGTCTGGGGGTCCCTCCGCGGCGTCGGCCTTGGAGGAAGAGCGAAGCCACTTCCTGAGCCCGCGTCTCTGCGCCCGGCCGGCTCTCCTGGCTGCCCCGCGCCGCCCCCGGGACACACGGCGCCACACGGCCAGCGGGCCCGCTCCGCTCTCGCTTCCCCGTGTCGCTGCTTTGCAACCTCGGGCGGCGCGTCCGGAGGCGGCGGGGGGAGGAAGCGCGCGGCCCGCCGTGGGGAGGCGGCGGGAGGGCGGGGACAGGGCCCGCGTCACACGGCGCTGCGCGTGGGTGTGCTGGGCTGCCGCAGCCGCAGCGTTTTACACAGCCAGCCGGCGAAGTCCACCTCTTCCACCTCGGCGCGCTTGATGAAGGCGTGGCTCTGGAAGGGAAGAGGAGCGCCTGAGCAGACGCCCTGCCGCCCGGCCCAGGACACGGGGCGGCTCCGAGCCCCCCGCAGCCCAGTGCCCGGCTCTGCGGACACGGGGCCGGGCACTCTCTCTGGGGGGCGGCCTGGGCGCTGTGGGGGTGGAGCAGCACCCCCGGCCCCCACCCACGCGATGCCGGGAGCTCCCCTGTGTGACAGCCACAGATGTCCCCAGACACGGCCCCGTGTCCCCCATGGTGAGAACAGGGGTCCGGAACACAGAACTCTCTGTGGTGACAAGTTGTCTACACGTCCCGTTGGGCGTGGCAGCCGCCGGCCACGTGCGGCTCCCGGCCCCTGAAATACGGCCCATGTGGCTGAGGAACAGACGTGTGCCATCCATGTCGCTTAAAGCAGCTTCAACAGCCACACGCGGCTGGCAGTTCCTGTGCGTAGGGGACGGCGTAGGGGACAGCAGAGCACTAGGGGATCCTCGTGGGGGGCTGTGCTGGGGAGGGGGGGGCCTCAGAGTCCAGGGGGGGCTCCAGCCTCCCCACACGACATCGAGGCCTGGCTCTGGCTCGGGGGCGGGCGGGCCAGTTCTCGCCTTCCTAATGGGGGGCGCAAGCACAGCTGAAAATCCACACGAGGGGCACAGGGCTCCTGGGGTCTCAGGCACGAGGAGGAGCAGTCACTAAGCTAGCCCAGACAGCAGCAGTTCTACTGAGGCAGAGAGATCTGGAAGGTTCTCCTGCACAACGTGAACTGCGGGGAGCTGGGGGCGCCACAGGGGTTTCAACGTGAAGGCGTTTCTCTATTTCCCACGTGTATATTTTACAGCGAACCCGTGTTTATTACGTCACGTGTTCTCTTAACACACGTTTCTGTGTGAGACACAGTAAGGAGTTTCTGGAGAGAATCAGGCGGACACAGACCCCTCCACAGGGGGCTCCAGGCCAGGCCTTCTATCCTGATCAGAGCAAACGGCAACACAACGGGGACACACGGCTGTCGCCACAACTAACAGAGGGAGGCGGGATCAGACAAGGTGCCCGGGGCCTTCTCAGCCGGGGCGCTGCGGTGGAGACCCGCAGCTGGGGAGCAGGGCCTGGTCCTGTGCAAAGGCCCTGAGGTGGAGAGCAGCAGAGAGGCTGGAGGACAGGGGAGGAGCATAGGGAGGGCGGAGGTGGAGAGGCAGCGGGGCGGTCCCTGGGCCGGTGGCCTCAGGCAGGGCACCAGCACCCAGCGAAGGGCTCGGCTCCGTCATTTACGACACCGCCTTCTGACAGTGATCGGAGGCCCGTTCGCTCGTGTTGGGACATCCGCGAGTCAGCATCTTAGGACTGTACCCGGCACTGTTTTCTCTTAGAGGCACGTAAATAGCGGGCTGTCCTAGGTGATTAGACCTAACGTCACCAACGGTGGACATGGCGCGGGGGGCGCTGTGACGGCCCCTTCTAAGGCCAGACGTCAGCCAGCTCCGTGGCCCGTCCCCACCGCCAGGGGAAGGCGGGTCCCTGCGACCACCCTGGCGTTCAAGGACGCTGGGCGGTGTGGGTGTAAAGCAAGGAAACAGCCTGCAGCCTCCCCGACCCGTGGGGGTCCCGACAGGCCCAAGGCAGGAGCGGCCAGAAGCTCAGAGCTCAGTCTGAGACGCACCCCAGACCCGGGCGCGGAGCCGAGGACGGCGGCTGCTCTGGATCATTCCCCCCACAGCGCTCTCCCCTCGGTTCATGCCCGGGACAGCAGAGCCGGCTCAGGCGAGAGGGCCTGGCAGGGTCCCCTTCTCCAGGAGGAGGAAGAGGCCCGGGCGGCGCCCCGCGCCCCCGCGCCCCGTCACTCACCATGAGCATCTTCAGGTCCGCGCGCTCTGCTGGGTTCTTAATGAGGCTGGCAGTTCCGCGAGGGGGGACGGAGGACAGAACGGGGAGACAAGACAGGGCAGTTAGTCGTGGCCATGGGGACTCGCGTTCTGTGCTGTGACCGGGCAGCCTGTGCCAGCCCCGTGCCCGGAGGCGGCCAGGCACAGAACCCGTCCTGCTGTCCCTCTGCCGCCTGGTCCCCGTGGTGTAAGGAGGCCGCCCCAGGGAGGGAGGGCGAGGCGCCAGGACCGGGACCCGAGGGAAGGGAAACAGCGTGGGAAACCCCCGGCTGCTGCCAGTCAGAGGCCCGGCAGCCACCGCAGCTCCATTTCTAATAAAAACCCCAAGTTCGGGAGTCCAAATGTCAAAGTTGAACTTTTTCCTTCAAAAAAGCAGAACTGTCTGAAGGCAGCTGCTTGAAGCAGCTCGGGGCCGAGTGGTGCTTCTTCAAACCTCACAAAAGCCTCTTTCACGAGTATCAAAACGTTTACATGACCAGTAACTGGATTCGCAACACACTGTGCCGGCCAGAGGTCGTGCAAAGGGCCGGTGGCTCCTTCCCCACACAGAACGGAGCCCGTTTGCGGCTGAGTCACACAGCCCCCAGGCGGCAGCCGGGTGGCCGCGCCTGCTCATCCTGACACTCAGGCAGGAGGCCCCAGAGGAAAGTGGGGCGGCCCCGGCCCTCCCTCCTGGTCCGCAGCCTGTCGCCTGAGACATTTCTCAGTCTTCAGAGAGCGGAGGCGCCCATAGCAGGTGGCCACCTCCCAGAGCCTGGCTCGAAGGCTTATTTGGAAGCTGGAGGGTCACGGGGCCTGAGGGATCGGGACACTGAGGGGCCCGCTGGCTGAGGGCAAGGCGGGAGGAACGTGCTTTCGCGAGAGGCTGAAATCCTGGTTCACTCCGGGCTTGGGACGAGCTGCGGATGGCAGCCGGGCCCGTGACCCAGCAGCCCGGGAGCGGAGCCTGGGTCTTCAGATGAGCCCATGGTGTCCCCAGACGCGGCCCTAAACCCGGCACTCCTGCCCAGCAGGCTCAGCACAGGGCCCGCCCGGGACCGGGAGGAAAGGTGCATCTGAGCAGACGGCCGGGGTGCGGCGGCCCGTCTGGGAGGCAGGTGGGGCCTCCGTGACCTGGCCCAGCCCCGGCCGCCCGAGCCCTGCTGGGGGGCACGGCACCTTACCATTTATTTACAAACTCCTGGAAGTCCTGCGTGAAAGCGCCGTGAGGCAGCTTGGGAGGAGGCTGTGGGAGAGAACAGACGGGTGGGGGTCACACACTCGAGGATGGTTCCAGAATCACGGAGAGAGTACGGCATAGCACTTGTCGGGGACCCTCGGGATGCGCCTCTCCTGCCCTGGCCCTTCAGCGCACTGGAGGCGGACACCCGTCCCCTCTCCCTCCCAGCGGCCTCCCCCCAGGCCCTGCGCCCGCCACCCCGACTGGCTCGGGCTCTTCCAGGGTATTCTTTTGAAAGCTGGTTTTGGGAGCACCAGTTCTGGAGGGAAGGAGGGCAGGCCTCACCCTCGCCTTAGAGACAAGGGCGGTCACTCTCAACCACACTCGTCCTGTTGGGCCGCCCACCTCCGTGTGTGTCTCGGAATGAGCCACGGGTCTGGACCCGAGTGGGCAGCTAGCTGCAGGGGTCTGGGCCCTAACGCCGGGGGGCCCAAGGAGCCTGGCCCGGCACACGTCCTGGGGTGGAGACAGCCGGTGCAGGGTCAGGCCTGTCAGGGAAGGCGGGGGGCAGAGGCTGTCCTGGTGAAACGCACAGGGCTTCCCTGCTGGCTCTCTGCCCCCTGAGTCCTGGGGCCCGACCTTGGCGCTCAGGGCTGGGAGGGGTGGCGGCCTCCTGGGCTGGGGCGTGGCCGCCAGGCGCAGCGAGCGCTGTGTCACCACAGCCACCCGCCCTGTTCTGTTGCCACCGACCCTGCTCGGAGCCACTCACCTCGACACCCAGCCCTGGGCCAAGCCCAGCCGCCCCATTTCTCTGCCCTCACTTGAAAGGGCCACGGGAAACACAGGTCAGCCCACAGAAGGCCCGGGGGCTGCTGACCTCACTGCAAGGGGGCGCTTTGGGGTCGGGTCCCGCTCCCATCTTTACGCCGTGATTTAGCGTCTGCGCAATGGGAGTCTTCACGCCACCCACTCACGGCTGGAGAGGACGAGGCGGGGGCCCTTCCAGGGGCTCTGTGCCTACTTCCCCGAGAGGACGGCGAGCCTGGACTTCCCCCGGGAAGTGGGACTATTTCTGACCCCTGCTCAAGGGCTGCGAGATGCTCAGGGAGCGATGCTGGGTGACAGCTCCAGGGAGGGCCTGGGTCCTGGCCTCGGAGCGCGGGGGCTGCGGGGGACTTCGGGTTCGTCTTTATGAGAACGAACAACACAAGGCCCCTTGGGGAGGGGTGGGTCTGTGCGGCACGGAGCGAGGACGGTCACCTATTTGTACAGCTGACAACCCCCTACCGAGACATGAACGTCTCCATCTCTCCCTCCCCAACAAGACCCACAGCCCATGTGCGGAATTCTGTTTTCAGGGACGTCTTCCAGCAGGAAGGGCTTCATTCCGCTGGTGTGAAGAAGTGCCAAAGGGGCTTCGGGTACGCACCTCGTTCACAATGTAGTCCAGCAACTCGAAGATGGCCATTGCGGGCCGGCTGTCCATCCCGTGACCTGCCAGGGGACACAGACAGCGGTGAGGGGGCAGGCGGCCGCAGGTCTGCCGGGTGTCGGGTCTGAGTGTGAACGCAGCAGCACCCTCCTCCCCACGCCGGTCCAAACCGGGGGGCTCCGCTGGCCGGGTGGCTGTGCCCCTGCACCTGCCTTCCTGGCAAACTCACTGCTCTCCTGAGCCTCGCGTGAGTTAACGAAACAGACGCCACAATGAACAGGGGCGTTTTCTGAGAAGTCACACACTGGGCACCGTGCTGCGCCCAGGCTGGGCCTGTCACCACCCCCTGCTTCTGGCGCTCAGGCGGGGCGTGGGGGTGCTGCCCGGGAGCAAGGACGCAGCGTGACCTTGCGTGGAGACGGCAGCAGCCCCACATGCCGCTCAGGGCAGGCGGCCGGCCGGGGGCGGCTGACCCCTGTCCCAGACCCAGCTGGCCAGGGCCGGGTTTGGCAGCTGGACTTTCGCCTTCTGTCCTCTGTCCTGAAGCGGGCACGTGGGCCGGGGCAGGTGCTGGCAGGCCGAGGCGCCTGGCAGAGCCCAGCGTCCTCCCTGCAGGGAAGGGGCCACAGCGGGACGCCTGCCGTGCTATCTGGGAGGTGGCGCTGGGAGGGGCGGAGCCAGGGCCTGAGGACACAGACTGAGGGGGCGGGGGGGCTCTCCCCTGGAGAAAATCAAGACACCCCAGCAGTCTGAGCGTGGTGCCAGGAAAGGGGAGCACCTGGGCTCAAAAATACCACGAAAATCACTGGCTGACAACTCAAGTGTCTGTCACCAGTAAATGGATACACAAATGTGGTCCATCCACACACTGGAATATGACGCAGCCATGAAGAGGGGTGAGGCCCTGACACAGCCACACTGTGGACGGACCCTGAACACACGACGCTCAATGAGAGAAGCAGACACAGAAGGACACACGGTGTGTGATCCCCTTGATGTGAAATGTCCAGAACAGGCACATCCACAGACAGGAAGTGGGTTCATGTTTGTTGGGGGCTGCGGAGTGACTGCTGACTGGGTGGGGCTTCTTTCTGGGGTGAGGGAATGTTCTGGAACTAGATAAAGGTGATGGTTGAACAACTTTGTGAAAATACCCAAATCCACTGAATTGTACGCCTTAAACGAGTAAATCTTATGGTGTCGGTTCCATCTCAGTAAACCTGTCACCAAACAGAGAAACCAACTACAGTCCACGGAACATTCCCCTGGACTCTCGTTTAACTCAACTCTCTTCTTGTCACTTGACTTTAAAACTCATACACAGAGCCCTGAGCGCTGCTTCCTAGTTAACGCCACCTCAGCCATGACCCCTCCCCCTCGCCACCGCCCAAAGCGGCCGATGCGTCAGCCTGAGCCTCGCTGGCACCGGGGCGCCCCACTGCCCAGGTGGCCGCCCGGGGAACCGAGAGTCATCTGGGCGCCCAGCTACCCCCAGCGCCCCCCGTCCCCCCATCCCTCCCACGCTGTGCCATGTTGGGGCTGCATCCACCAGCCACCTGAGGAAACTCTGAGTCGGGTTCCACTGGGGGCTCCCCGAGTGACCCAGCCCACACACAGAGCGTGCGCTGCAGCGTCTCGGCAGTGGGCACGGGGCGCCCGCTGGGCAAGCCTTCTAGCTTTTCCGTTCGTCTGAATGTCTCTGTGATAAAACGATGGAAAAACCAACCACCCGAGGGCTTGGCCGAGGAGCTAGTGTCTAGATCCCCGCAGCTGGTGACGACAGGCTCAGCTGCCCGGACGGGACAGGTTTGGGGCTGCTCCCCGCGCTGCCCCCAGAAGTCTCAGGACCATCTGAGGACTGCTGACCACAGCGGGTACGACCCGGGGGACAGGTGGTGCCGGAGGGCCCGAGGGGACCGGCAGCTCTGGCGCAGGCCGTACGTACCACTCATGGGGCGCCCGGGGGGTCTGGGCCGTGGCGAGACGCCGTGCGGATCTCCCTCCGCCCCATCGACCACGGGCCGGCCAAAGATGGCCTCCAGCTCCTTGGCGTCTGGCGGGGGGATGGGGTACCTCCCGATGGAGAGCTCCACCAGGGACAGGCCCATACTCCAGATGTCCGACTGCACCGAGTAGTGGGTGCCCTGCAGGCGCTCGGGCTGTCGGGCGAGACAGAGAGGGAAGGAGCGCCCAGGGGGACGGCTGCGAGCGGGAGCCCGGAGCGCACGCGGACGGGGCGGCATCTCACTGTCTCCAACGCTCCCCCTGCAGCCCCATCCCGGCCCCCGCCCCTCTAGAGACCAAGCGACAAGAAAGCAGTTCTGCGCCCTCTCTCTACCGCCTCGGGACAGGGAAGCTTCCTGGCGGTGTGACCTCGGCTCCTCAAAGACCCGCCGTCGTTAGCGCTTTTGGAAAAGGGTGATCAGCCCGAGAAGACAGCAGAATGCCTCCTTCTCATCACAAGCCCAAGACTAACTTCCCAGAATCTGCTCCTAGCTCACTCAGACGTTTCCTAGACTACTTGAGGGCTAGTGCCTTGGCTCAGAATCTGACTGACTGCTCTCCCCGCCTGCACTTTTATTGCCAGTGGAAAGCAAGCAGCAGGCGTTTCCAGAGAGAAACCTGTGCGAGGAGGTGACGGAAACTAGAAGCTCAACGGAAAGGAGAAATCCAGCCAAGACAGAAAGTGGACCACGGGGAAGTGCAGGCTTCTGGAGACGCTTCTGGAAAACGGGGCAGAGCTGAGGGGGTGGGGGCCCCCGGCAGGACTCACAGACATGTAGGAGCGGGTGCCCACGAAGGAGTTGGCCATGGAGTCGATGAGCTGCCCGCTCACCCCGAAGTCGCACAGCTTGATCTCGCCCCGGGAGTTGACGAGGATGTTGGACGGCTTCACATCTGGGGGCAGAGCCGGCGGGTGAGGGGCACTCGCAACCTGCCCGCCCCCCCGCCCCCAGCCCAGAAAGCGCTCCCGTCTCACCTCGGTGCATGATCTGGTGCTTCTCCCGGAGGTAGGCCAAGCCCCGGAGAACCTGCGGGGAGCCACGGGGGCCATCAGCAGGGCCGCGCCGCGGGGAGAGGACGCTCCTCTGGACAGGCCCACGGGCCAGACCCGAGGGGCCACCGCACCTGGCGCAAGCTCAGGGGACCTGCTTTACGGTGGGGCGAGCAGGCAGTGGTGAAGCGGTGGCCACGACAGCCTGCGCTGGGGGCACAGACCCCCGCCACGGGCAGACACCTCTGCCTGCTCCGGCCTAGAGGAGGGCCGAGGCCCACGGAAGCGGAGACGAGGCCCCGGGCCCGGTGGCAGGGCTGTGAGTCTGGCCCGGCCACCCTGCCTCGGGGGTCGCTCCAGCCCGACGGGCAGTCACTGCTGAGCGCCTCGGCGCCGGGGCTGTGCGGAGGCCCCCAATCCACGGCGGGAAGCGCGCAGTGGGCGATTCCACCAAGTCAGCGAGGAAACACTCAAGGATGGTGGCACGTGGGACACCGTATCCCTGGGGCCACGCCACCAGCGTCTTGGGCGACTGCAACGCCCGATGGGCAGAAAGGCATCGCCCCACCACCCCACTGGCTGCCAGGGCTCCTCCGCCCCGGCCACGCTGAAGGGGGCCGCAGTTAGAACAAGGCCATGCCAGGCACGGGGCTGGGACGCAAAGGCCGGGGCAGCCGGCGCTGTACACTCACCGCGATGCTGACCTTCCCTAGGATCTCCTCGGGGATTCTCCTGGCTTCTTTCAACACCTGGTCCAGGGAGCCGCCATCCTGGGGGAGAAAGGCCGCTCTGAGCAGCTGGCAGCCGGGCGGTGCCCCCGTGGGCTGGCAGGGCAGACACGGCCTCCCAGGGGGACGCCGAGCGGCAGGTCTGACACCAGGCATCTCCCTCCCTGGAGCCGGAGCTCGAGGCCCTCCACGGGAGACAGATGCCGGAGCACAGCTGAGCGCAACCGGCCGGCAAGAGCCGGGGCTCCCTCAGCCCCTGCCGCCTCGGGGCCGCGCACCCGTGAGGAGTGGAGAGGCTGCCCGCACTCCCCGGGCGGCTCGGCCTTCCGGGACGCAGGCCCGTGGCCGGCGGTGACTCAGCCTCCCGGGTTGCCACGGCAGCAGCGGGTGGAGCGGAGCCCCGGAGGCGAGGGCTGCATGGCTGCCAGGCTGGCCACTGGAGCGACGGCGAGTGTGCCCGAGCGGGACCTGCTTCTGGGGGCCCGGGGTCCACTCCCAGCGGGCCGGCTGCAGCCCTAGCGGGAAGGGGGTGAGCAGAGGCGATGCAGAGGTGGAACAGGAGAGACGCGGCTGAGCCCACGCCCTCTGCACTGCGCCCCTGCACCCCTGCCTCAGCCCTGCTGCCCCTCTTCTCCGAGCCCCGGCCTCGCTAGGAAGGGACCCGGCGCACGAGGGGCACGGAGGACTCCTAGATGAGGTGACAGCTCTGCCCCTTTCCCTCAGGTCTCGTCACGGGCTCGAGGCTGCTGTGCACGGCGTGTCCCACAGAGGACCTGACACGGGTCATCCCAGTCGGTCCCCCACCCCGGGCATGGCCCCAAATCCACCTGACGAGGAGGAGACGACAGATATCGAATGTCTTGCAGAAGGTCGCCCGACACCAAACCGGAGACCAAACCCCAGGGTGTCGCCGGCTCTGGCCCGAGGAGCCTCTTCAGAGGTGGGCTCCGAGGACACGCGCGCCGGCCACTCAGGACGCCGGGTGGACACGGCCGAGTTCTGACCAACGGCCGGAGCCTGCCGTGGTCTCCCCGCACTCCCCAGGAAGGAAACCAGCTTCTAGGCTCGGACGGATGAGGTGGGCGGCCCCAGAGCCGGTGTTTTCTCCACTGCACTGCTCCGGGTCTGCGCCCCAAGCCACCGGCCTCCTGGGGACCCCTTGCACTTCAGTGGGGGGCGGGGCAAAGCCCGCGGTCTTGAGGAGGCCTGGGTCTGCCCTCTCTGGCTCTGCCCCAGCCGTGCTCAATGAGGATGGCCGTGGTGGGGAGTTCTAGAAAACCCAATGCACTCTGACACTTTGAGAACCGGCGTGACTCAACTAGCCCCACGCTGAGGGGAGGGACCCGTGCGCAGAGCAGGGTGTGGCCGAGGAAGCCACGGCACCGGGCGTTCCGGCGAGCCTGGTCTGGCCAGGGCGCCCGCCCAGCCCGCTCTGCACGCAGGGCCAGATGGGAAGTCCTTCTCGTTTTTTGTTTTATCATTCAACCTTAAAAGAATTTAAATTAAAAAAACCTTCTTTTTAAATTGTCATCCCTGCTCCCCAACGTGGCTCCTTTCAGTCTTGACTTCTCGTAGAGGTGGGTATGTGCGTGCTGCCGGAGAACATTCTGGAGAACGCCTGCAGAGAGGCCAGGGCGGGCCGGCACCACGTGGGTCTCAGGAGGCAGCCCCCCCGTGACGCAGACGTGCTCTCTCGACGGCAGGGTCCCCCTCGGCACTGAGGACATGGGGCTGGGACATCTCTGTGTGGCCGTCCTGGCCACTGTGGGGGTGAGCAGCATCCCTGGCCCCCGCCCACTTGATACCAGAAGCACCCCCAGTGTGACAACCACAATGTCCCCAGACATGGCCCAGTGTCCCCTGGGGGGGCAGGACCACCCCCAGGAGCGACGCCTGGTCTGCAGCCAGGGAGACTGAGGTCTGGCAGGGTAAGTGAGCCCTCAGGTCACGGGAGCAGGATGTGGTGCAGAAGACGGCACATCTAGGTCTCTCTGACCCCGAATCTCCCTCCTCACGCGTGGCCACACACTTTCATTTTGCGTGTGTGCTCGCAATGTTCTCGAAATCGTCCTTTTTAAAGCAGGTGATACGTGAATGTGCTTTTTTTGTAAAACTTCCAATGCAGATAAACAATACTCTGACGCCACAGCAATTCCACTCGCCTCCTCTGAAGTGCGACTTACAGTCTTCCAGATCTTTCTGTGCATTTGCATATACACCCATACGCAGAGGGCGCACAGAGCCTTAAATACACATCCACACGAGCGGGTGGACGCGCATCTCCCTCCTCAGGTCCCCCGCTCTGCACACACGCTGACTCCACTCTCCCCTGCATGGCAGCCTGGGCTCTCTGGGACCGGTGGATCTCTCATCACCGAAGACGGGGCCGCACACTCTTTAGGAGATCGCACGGGAGCCCAAGAAACACAGAGAGGAGCCTCTGAGTGCTCAGGAGCTGCGCCCCAGCCACTCTGGCCCTGAGACACCCACTGTGCGCTGAGTTCTCCCAGTAACAGGGTCAGGCCGCGGGGGAACCACCAGCCCTGCTGTGTCTAAGCCCCAGAGGCCCCACGCGCCGGCCAGGTGAGGGTCAACTTCTGAGCCGACTCGGGGTGCTCGTCGTCAATGAGGGATCTTTTCTCCAAAGCTGGGGCTGGAATCCACCTGACTGGAGACAAGAGCCGGTTCACACACGAACCCAGGGGAGATCAGATGGGCCTCGATCAGGGAGCGGAGCCACAGAGCGGGAGATCGACCAGGCAGATGTCACGACTGTGAGAAACGGAGGTGAAGGTCACGTGACACACGGGGACAACTGATGCTCCCTCGATGTTCCTCGTGTCCAGACTCCTCGCCCCGGCCTGGGAGGCAGGCATCACACCACCGGGCGTGACAGGCCAAGAGGTGCGGGACCCAAGTCGGCCGAGGGAGGCGAGCAGTGCACCAAGGCCCGACTCCAGGGCCCATGCGGGGCCCCCCAGGGCACAGGAAGGAGCGAGTGAACGAGGCAGACGTCCTGCAAACACGGGAACCCTCCGTGCCCGTGGATCAGCTCCAAGGGGATTCCTGCACGTGCAGACACTGTGGGGAGCGGTGAGGGGAAGGGCCACCTCCCCCGTCCTCGACTTACTATCCTCTGTGCCCCTCCTGAAGGCTCGCCCCAAACCTGAAAACCCGCAGCCTCCCAGGCGTGGATCAGAAGCGGTCAGGGGAAGGTGGGGAGCGCGGGCCCAGCGGAGCGTGCGGCTGTTCTCCTGTGCGTCACATCGCGCTCCACCCCCCTCGCACGCGCGACGCCCAGCACCCCACACAGCCCACCCAGGAATCTCGGGACGGTGAGCACAGCCAAGCAGTGGAATCGCCAGGCCTCCCCTGCATCCTGGGGGACCCTCTGCAAGCTGCAGGGAGCAGACACCTCCCGCCGAAACCAAGGCTTCAGTCACCAAGAATGAAGGGGAGAGGGCGGTGGTGACGCCCCCTTTACTGCAGGAGCGGGGGCCTTCAAACGATGTCCGGGGGAAACAGGTAGGGGTGGCAGAGAGCACTGGAGAGGAGGGGGCGGGAAGGAGACTGGGAAGGGGGCAGGGGAGGAGGGAGAGGAGAAGAGGGGAGGAGGGAGGGGCAGGAGGGCCGAGGAGGGGGGGAGGAGGAAGCAGAGAGGGGAGGAGGGGAGCGACAGCACAGAGGAGCTCCCCTCAGACCACAAAGCGACTGCACGCCCTTCTCGCCCGATTCTCGGCTGACGGTGCCTGGGCCAGGCGGGCGGGCGGGCAGACACCATCTCCCGCTCCCGGGTGAGAAAAGGGGCTCTGAGGGCGCTGCCCGGCAGGGATGGCGGGGACCACGCGGCTGGGCAGGGGCAGGGCGGGCGGGAGCACCTTCTCGGGTGCTCCCTCTGGAGCTGTTACACCACCCCACCCGCCCACTCACGACGCCTTCCTTGCGGGCGCTTGCTCAAATTCGTTTCCTGCCTTCATTACAAAACCGTCAGAGGGGACAGCGCGTTTGCGAGGCGTAACCGAAGCTGCTGTGCCGACAGGCACGCCGCATCCTGGTTTTGCAAGGGCCCCGCCGGGCCTGGGCCGGACAGCCGGCAGCAGGCAGTCTCGTACCTGACCAGTTCGCTCGCAGAGGGTCGGCAGCGTTTCCTCCCAGGCCTGCAGCTCTGACCACTTCTGCTTTCATGACGCCCAATCCCACCCATCTCTGAGCTTCAAGACCGGCATTTCTTAACACGGGGTACATGAGAATCAAGCGTGGCGGTTTAAAAAAAGACAGGTGCTGTGCTCCACCACAGAGCTTCTGATTCCACAGATCTGAGCCGGGGTGCAGACCTGGGCCCGCCTTTCAAACAGCTCCCCAGACTGTGGCACTCTCTTCAGAGGGCACTCAGGAAGTATCGGTCAATCGCTTAATCACAGGTACCTTTGGGCCCAGCCATTCCACCGGGGGACCTGCAAATCACCACCCAGGTACATGTGGATGCTGGAATACTAGATGGCAGGGAAAAAGCCGGAGCCAGCTCCATATTTGCCAACAGGGAATGACTTCCACCACGTGTCAAGAGGAAAAGCCAAGCTGGGAAGAGGGTGCCTGGTGTCTAAAAACAAAGGAATCACGTACACACATGCTCACACAGACGTCGGCTGCCTCCAGAAGGATGCCCTTGGAAACAGTTGTGCTGTGGCCTCTGAGGACAGGCCCGGAGGGGCACAGGCAGGCAGACCTCCTTCTCACCGGGCACCCCCTCATTCTGCCAACTCTCCGTCCTGCCACATCCACCTGCTCGCGGCCTGGGCGGCTGTGGGGATGCTGGCTGCGGCCCTGGCGTGGGGTGCCCCCAGGGCCCCGTGCTCACCATGTGCTCCATGCAGATGCTGATCTCGCCGTCGCTGTAGAAGGCCCCGTAGAAGCCCACGATGTACGGCGAGTTACACTCGTGCAGCACCTGCAGCTCGTGGACAATCTGGTCCCTGATGGCCGGCTTGATCTCCAGGTGGATCAGCTGCAAGGGAATGGGCAGCAGGTTCAAGACCAGGCCACTGAGGAGCCTGCAAAGAGGGGGCCTCGCTCCTGCGCTCTGGGGGTGCTCAGGACAGCAAAGACCAGCCTGCAATCCACTCCTAGGTGTCCGTCTACCTAAGAGAACCGAAAACACACGTCCACACACAAACCTGTACATGCGTGTCCACAGCAACGTGATTCACAACAGCCAAAAGGCAGAAGCTACCCAAGTGTCCATCAGTGGATGATGGATAAACAGTGTGTCCATCCACGTAGGGGAATATGATGCAGCCATGAAAAGGAGTGGAGCCCTGACACAGCCACACCGTGGATGGACCATGAACACATGACGCTCAGTGAGAGAACCAGACACAGAAGGACACGCGGTGTGTGATTCCATTGATGTGAAATGTCCAGAACAGGCAGATCCACAGACAGGAAGTGGGTTCGTGGTTGTCAGGGGCTGGGGAGGTGGTGGGGAGTGACTGCTAATGGAGAAATGGTTCTATTTGGAGTGATGAAAATGTTCTAAAATCGATGGTAGTGATGGGTACATAATCCTGTGAATATACCAAAAACCAGTGAATTATATGCTCTAAAAGGGTAAACTGTACAGTATGTGAATTACATCTTGATAAACCTGTTAAAAAAAAAATCAATGTAGCAACTATGTTTCCCTCAGTTACAGGGTGAGCTCTGTGAAGAGGAGTTTTCTGCCACCCAATCATACGATGTGCCAGCCTTTCCCAAGAGGCGGGCCAGGGGATGCCCCACCAGAGGGGATTCCTTCCCCCCGCCCCCCTCAGGCAGGTTTCCCCAGAGCCCTTCCCACCTCCAGGCCAGAGACAATGCCAAGAGCCTCCAGCCGCCAGCCTAGGACCCCAGCTCCCCTTCCACTTGAGTTCAGGTCGGCAGAGGGGGTGTCACCAAATCCATGACAACACTTCAAAAGGTGAGAAACCAAAGGGCCATCTGGAGAGAGGCGGAGAAGACAGCTGAGAAACACCAAGAACAACGCCCGACTGCAGACCCCAAGTGAGCTGAGAGCCACTGCCCGGCGGCAAAGAGCCGGGCCGGCCACTTAGACTCCTAGCTGCACCAGCCATCGCATTACGACAAGAAAAGGGTGTGATTTGCACCCTTTGTCGGAGAGGCGGAGCCAGATCACGGGTGTCTAAAAACCATCACCGTCAATTCACTAGATGTTTGTTAGAGCCGATTACGCACAAAGCCAGTGACGAGGAGAGAGAGAAGGCAGAGACGGCCGCCTGGGGAGGAGAAGCGGGTGAACCGCCTCGGAGGTGGAGGTGCCCCGTCGCAGGAATCACACAAAGCTGGTCCGGGGCTCAGGCGACACAGGGCAGCCTTGAAGGACGGGTAGGAGTCGGCCAAACAGACAAGGTGGGGGCAGGTGCTCCAGGCGGAGGGACAAAGGGCTGCCTGTTCGAGGGCAGCCGGGCATGAAGGGGTGTGTGCCGAGTTCGGGGGGCACAGGGTACGTGTGGGGGTGCCACCTGCTCACAGGCCCATGCCAATGATCTTCCCGACCTTGAGAACTGCAGCAGGTTCCAGCAGCACAGGGCCCGGGGCCTCCACTTGAAGGTTCTCCGCCCGGCCCAGCCCACAGGCAGGGGACACTGCACCCCCCAGGGCCACCCCAGCAGGATGGCGGATCACACCAGGACCCCAGGATGCTCCTTCCCCCAGCGGGACCACGTCTGTGAGGTGACGCCCGAAACGCGCACACAGATACGCTCTGCAGGCGCTAGAAGCTGGGTCTGAGAGGGAAGCTGCGTCGAGGGTGGGCGGTTGACCCTGAAAGCCGAGAAAGAAGGGGACAGCGAAGCCGATGGCCGGGCAGTCAGGGGCAACGCAGAGCAGCGCTGCCCAACAGAAATGCAACTCGAGCGCGCATTTAATTTTAAATCCTCCAGCTGCTGAGTTAATAAAGTAACACGAAACAGGAGAAGTCAAATGCATTTTTCATGTACTTTGTTTAACTCAATGTATCAAAACATCACCGTTTCGACGAGTGATCCGTGTAAAAACATCAATGAGAATTTTTTCACGTGGAGCCCTTGAAACCTGGTGTGTTAGCTCGCACGTACGGCAGCGTCCGTTTGGACCGCCTGTGTTTCCAGGGCTCAGCAGCCGCGTGTGATCGCACTTCAGAGGAGCCACAGATGAGCGAGCGGCTGGGGAGCAAGAAGCCACTCAGCTTTTCTTTTTTTTTTTTTTAAAGATTTTATTTATTTATTCCCCCCCCCCCCCAAAGCCCCAGTAGATAGTTGTGTGTCATAGCTGCACATCCTTCTAGTTGCTGTATGTGGGACGCGGCCTCAGCATGGCCGGAGAAGCGGTGCGTCGGTGCGCGCCCGGGATCCGAACCCAGGCCACCAGCAGCAGAGCGCGCGCACTTAACCGCTAAGCCACGGGGCCGGCCCAGCCACTCAGCTTTAGAGAAGCGGAAGGAGTGGACAGAACTGGAGGGAATCCCAGGTCCCGGAAGCCGGGGTTGGGGCCCTGACGTGAAATAAGACCACGGGAGTCAGGCTTTCGGGAAAGTGCATCAGGCTTTCGGGAAAGTGCAGTGGAGAGAAGGGGCCACTGCCACCTGATCCCGGGTTTAACGGGTCTGTTGTATCTAGTGAAGCGAGATGCACTCACCCAGACTGACTAGGAGCCCCCACTGAGGGTGTGCGGGGGAGACGGGGTTGCTGGCCCCACTGCACTGATGGGCAAGCTGAGGTCCCGAGACGGTAAGTCCCGTTCCCGGGGCGCACGGCGGGTGGGCGGGCAGGTCAGGATGGGGCCGGGCTCACGGACACCCCCCTGGGTTTCCCCTGCAGGATGGGGGATCTGAGTTAGGAATGGGGGTGGGAGGGGACGCACTAGGAAAAGAGGGAAGTGGATTCTGGAGGCAAAGCCCTGACAGCTTCCACCAGGTCAGGTCGACTGTGAAGGGCAGACCCAAGAGATTCAAACCCAGTTCAGACACCGACCCGACTCAGCCTCAGCTTTCTCATCTGTACAGTGAAGCTGCTGAGGGTTCAGCACCAGCTCTGACACGGGGCAGCCCCTTGAAAGATGGCAGCTTGTGTTATTATGGGGCCTTGGGCAGGTCACAGAACCTCCTTCTAGAAGCGAGCAGGTGCAGCTAAACGCAAGGCCGAGGGTACAGGGAAGGCGAGGGACGGGAGCCCCGCACGCGTAACTAACAGGTGGAACTCCTCGCCGAGCTCCCCCAGCCCGAGTAACGCCGAGGTTCTGTTTCGGGCCTCTCAGAAGGAAGCAGGAGTCAGAAGGCCATGCCTGGGTCAAGAAAACATTCACGAACGAGGGTGACTGCAAAAATCAAGACGGCTTTTCTCAGGTCCTACAGAACCACTCTTGTTGCTTTCCCAGCACGTCACGGTGGTTAGGATAACCCTCTGCCGATCAAAGGGACCAGGGGGACGCCGGCCCTCAGAGCGGGATCCCCACAGGCCTTCCAGAAGCCTCACCCCTCAACCCTCACCCCCGCAGGAGGCCGCACGTGGAGATCTGACGAGCTGACACTCAGGATGCATCGAATTCGTATGCGGCTTCCCGGGAATTGGGAATCCCACCCAGGGCAGCAGAGGAAGGACCGAGGCCACTGATGCCTAAAAACCACGTTGTCACTTCAATTTTCCCGTCTGTGCCCTCGACTTAACAAAGGCAGACTGGCCTCCCGGGTGAACGGGCATTCCAGATGGATTAACAGGAGCCCCAGACCCCCCCCGACGGGCCGAGGGCCCTGGGCCGTCAGGGAGTCATGGCCCCAACCGCACGATGGCCACGGAGCCGGCCTTCTCGTTCAACGTAGTCACCAGATACACGTGGGCGCCCGCTCTGTCCCCACACCGGAGGTGACGATCTACGGGGAGCAAAATCTGAGGTCCTTTCCCTTTAGTTTTCTTGGACCTATTTTTTTTTTAACCTTTTGTCTTGAAAGAATTACAGAAGCACGGGAAGTTGTAGCAACAGCAGAGAGGACCCCGTGGACCCTGCAGCCAGCCCACGGCGACGCCTACGACTGAAAGACTGTGTCAAACCAGGAGACTGAAAGGGGACAGCACCGTCACTGGACCACAGGACCTGTCTGGCCTCCCTGGTCTTAAACTCCTCAATCTTACTTCCCAGGGTTTCATACAGCTGCAGATAAACCCCTAGAGTCACCTTTACTACAAGGCATGTCGGCCCAGAAGATTCCTCGCTGGCCTGAGAGAACCCCTCGGTCCCGGACGCAAACCCCGACCAGCACTCGGGCGACGGCGGACCAGAGATTTCCAGGGCAGCTCTGGTCTTGAAGCGGCCGCCTGGGGTGGGGCTTCAGGAGGGAGGGCGGCTCCAGAGGCGGGAGAAAGAGCCGCGGGGCTGCACCTAGTGGAAAGCAAGCACCTCGTTCCCGGGAAAGGCAGGACCCTCAGGAGACGCTGGGCCGCACAGACCCGCCCGGGCCTGGGGCGGGCAGGTCTCCAAGAACACGATTTGGGCACTACAGGATTATGGGCTTCCAGAAAGAGGCGGCTGAAAGAACTCGTTCCTACGCGCTAACCCCCATGTCAACACGAAGTCCCCCACTCACGCATTTAAGAGCCACTATCCCCAGTGGTCACATCCTCTCCTTCCAACTCCCCACGTCTCCCCGGGAGTGCTCCCGCACATTTAGTGGGAGGCTGCGCTGTGGCGCAGGGGCCCAGACGAGGGAGGCCTGGACTCCTCAGTGCCAGAGTTTGTACCAAAGGGTGGGGTGATGGTTGATTTCATGTGCCCACTTGGCTGGGCCATGGTCCCCAGTGGTTGGTCCAACACCAGTCTAGATGTCACTGTGAAGGTATTTTTTAGGTGTGATTTAACATGGAAATCATCAGACTTTGAGAAAAGCAGAGGACCCTCCATTAGTGGGTGGGCCGCATCTAATCAGTTGAAGGCCTTAAAAGAAAAGACAGAGGTCCCCACCAAAGAAGAGGGAATTCTACCCCCAGATTGCCCTTGGACTCGAGCTGGAACATCAATGCTTTCTTGGATCTCCAGCCTGCCAGCCTGCCCTCAGATTTTGGATTTGCCAGACCCCCAGGAGTGCATGAGCCCATTCCCTAAATACCTCTCTTTCTCTACACACACACGTGCGCCCTAGTGGTTCTGTCTCTCTGGAGAACTCTGACTAATACAAGTAGTTGGGTTACCTCATTGCCAAGGGACCCCCTCATGTGACCATCGCAACAGAGCCCCGTCTGGGTCTGCAGTGCTTTCTCCTGGTCATGAAGTCAGGGTGATGCCAGCTCTAAGGGGACCTGATTCTCCTCCTTTCTTCCCCAAAACTCCACTCACTACATTTCTCAAGCCAGTCCATAAACAGTCCTGGACATTCCTGGGAATCTGAATTTAAGCCCTCCCCAAGGGCAGAAGTCCGTGATGGAAGGGAAGAGCCTCGTGAGGCAAGCCAGCATTGCCGTATTCTACCTAGACCCCGGGCTCTTCCTCGGGACCAGGACCCACACTGTGGGGAGGGCCTCTGAGCCCAGGAGCCAGTGAGGAAGCAGAGGCCCACACTGTTCAAACCTCCGTCCCATCTACCAGGGAGAAATCACCCCCCTACACGGACCGTGGAGTAGGGGACAGAATGCTCGCCCCGCCGCCGGCCGCCTCTCACCTTTCTGGCCATGATGAGGCCCGAAGGTCTGTGCTGGACCTTGGTGACCACCCCGCCGTTCCCGGCTCCCAGCTCCGAGATCCTCTCGAAATCATCATCCTTGAGCTCCCCGACCTTGGCCTTCTGGGTGAGAAAGGCTTCCAGCCGCTTCTTCTGCTGCTCGTCGAGTTCTAGCTCCTCGAGCTTCTTCTGGAGGTCCACCAAGTTCGCCCTGCAGAGACCCCAAGGGCAAGGGTGAGTGAGGAGTATATGAGCTACTGAGAGACGACGCAGCCTGAGCCGAGGTTGCTGTGTGGCCGCTGCGCGCCGGGCCCTGGGTTGGCGGCTGGGAGGACGCGGAGATGAACCAGACCTGACTCTCGTGATCCAGGGGCCTGGGATCCAGCAGGAAGGCAAGACCTCCCGCAGACACACAGGCACGGGCTCTCTCCCCACTCACAAAGTTCAGGACAGACCCCAGGACCTGGAGGACCAGCTCTGGGATCAGACCCAGGAGCCTTCCTGAAGCAAGGGCTCCAGACCGTGTGGAAGGAGACGAGGGAACTGGGGAGACAAGACCGGGGGTCGGGCGCATGAAGGCCCAGGCCAGGACACCTGTCCTTCACGAGGACAGAGGAGCAAACTCGTTGTGAGTGGCCTCAGAGCAGAGAACCAGAACCAATGGGCAGACAGAAGTCTCAGCGTCCATGCCTTTAATTTACACGAATCCTGCACAGGCATTTGAGGGAGAAAAGGAGAGGGGCATAATTTCAGTAGTGCAGACAATTCCAGGGCATTCCGCCCAACCTGCACACTCTTATCATACCCTGAGCATTACTGAAAACACTAGGCATTTATACACACACACACAGATTCTTGGACCTGGCTATTAAAAAAACCAACCACATCTATTGCACTTTAGTGGGTGACTCAAGGGATCTTCAAAGGACATTTTGACAATAAGCTATTTTCACTAATGCTTTGACTTTTTTTTTGTGTGTGTGAGGAAGATTAGCCCTGAGCTAATATCCGAGCCCATCTTCCTCTACTTTATACGTGGGATGCCTGCCAAAGCATGACTTGATAAGCAGGGCATAGGTCTGCGCCCGGGATCTGAACCTGCAAACCCAGGGCCACCGAAGCAGAGCGCATGAACTTAACCACTATGCCACCGGGCTGGCCCCACGGATGCCCTGACTTTGAAGCAGATCCTGGAGGAAAAGGCAGCTCCCCGTGACAGGCGGGGAGACTTCAGCTCAATGCACACAAGAACCCACCTAGTGCCGTCCGAAAGAAATAGAAGGGAAGCCACGTGTGCAATTTAACATTTCCTAGCCATGCTAAAAAAATATGCATCAGGTGAAATTAATTTTAATATATTTGTTTTAACCCATCAAAAATATAATTTTCAATGGGTAATCGATATAAACAAATGAATGAATATTTATTTTTACTTTTTTGTATTTTATGTCTTTGAAATCGGGAATGCATCTTATACCTACAGCTCCCCTGAATCTGGACAAGCCACTGCCGGCTGTGGTCGGGGCTAGCGGACCAGACAGTGTGCGCAGCTAAGGATACAGGAGAATGGGCCCCCTCGGGCGGTCCTCAGCCACCAATTCCTGGGGGGGGTTTAGGCCGAGGTTGACTGTCCGCCTGGGGGAGACCTCACGGGGGATTCAAGCAGGGACGAAGGGAAAATGGAATTCTCAGGGACCTTCCAACTTCGGAGTTTGGCCACGACTCGCCTGCAACTTAAAGAGGTGCCAGCAAAGGGCAGAGAGGCCGGGAGGCGAGATGACCTGCCACTGGGCGATGTCACCTGAGCTGGTAGGGGGCTAGGTGCCACTTCCTGAGCAGGTACCAGAGCTCTGCAAACACCATCTCATTGAAGTCTCATGATCCTCCCGGGGGTGGGTCTCTTGCTGCCCCCGCCCACGCAGGAGGGAACAGGCTCAGAGAGGTTGAGGAACTTGCCCGAGGGTCACGACGCAAGGCAGTGGCAGAGGCCAGAGCGAACCTGTGTCCTTCCTGATTGTAGAGCCTGTGCTCATCGCAGCGTGCCCTGAGCCAGGACCTGGGGCCTGGCGGGAGCTCACTCAATGCCTGGGAGACCAAGAGCTGATGAAGAAGAAATGAGGACTCTGACGGACGCAGCAGGGGAGGCAAAGGCATGAAGGGACGTGAGCCGGCTCCTTCCCCCTAGGGCTGAAGGGGCCATGTTGGAGGCCAGACTCTGGAAGGTCTCCAGCCCTGCCCTGTGACATCTAAAATGCAATCTGGAGTCAGCTGATTAATCCATTTTAAATTTAATGGCAACTTGACTGGGGTTATAAAAAAAAACCCTGGAATTCCAACGGCTGGCCTCCTCTGCTGGGGGAATTCTTGAAGGGATGGAAATCAGAAACCACATCAAAGAAAGAGAAGTGGAGAGGAAGGAAGAGGTCTCCCGGAGGAAGAACAAGGAGCGGGTTTCTGAAAATTAGGAACCTGTCCCCGCGTTGAGCTGTGCGCTGGGAGACGGAGAAAGATGCCGGCTCACACACACACACACACACACACACACACACACACACGTGCGTGAAGACCGTCCTTCACCCGGGGCGCAGGAGGCCAAGTCCCCGAGGGGACCAGACGTGCCCTTTGCCCGGCACACCACAAGCACAGCCAGCAGACCCCCCGGCCAGGGGCCTCTGGACCACTCCCCTCCACCGGCATGGAGAGCGGGAGTGGGGAGGTCATGGGGACTTCTGCGGCCAGGCGGTCACCCCGGTGTGACCATACACACTACCATCCCGCCATCCCATAGCCCCGCCACCCCCTGCTCCCTGCTCTGTCCCCTGCCCCCAAGCCCTCCAGTCTCCCTCCACGGCCTGCACTTCTCCAGCCCGGAGGCTCTGCCAGTCCATTCGATTCAGAAGCTCTGCTTATGTGCCTTCAGGGGTCCCAGCAGGGCCCCCGCTCCTTTCCCCCACCCCTCCCACTTCTCCCCACACCCCACCCCTCCACATCCCCCTCACTCCCTGCTGCCCCAGCCTCCTCACCCCTCTCTGCTACTTCCAGGAGCCCCCTCTCCCCCACCAGCAGGGTCTTCTCATCCTGCCCTTAGTCTCTCAGGCTCCTTTCCCCCCAATTCCCTTGGAGACTCTCCCCTCCTCCCCACACCCCTTCAGGGACCCGTCCCCCATCCTCATCGCTCAGGCGTCCCTTCCCTGTTGCTGGTCTTCTGTGGACCTCCTCACCCCATCCTCACTCCCAGGGACCCCCCCCGTCGCCCCTTACTCTGATTCATTACTCAGGGACCGCCCGCACCCTGTCCTCTCCCCATAGGGACCCCCTCAAGACCCCTCAACCTGTCCTCACCACTCAGGAACCCTCCTCACCTCCTCCTCCCCTCAGGATCCCGCACTCTGACCTCACTACTCAGGGACTGCCCCCTTACTCCTATCTCACTGCCTGGGACTCCCTGACCCATCCTCTCCTCTCAGGAATCCCCCCATCACCCCTGATTCACGACTCAGGGATCCCCCAACTCGGATCGCAGTACTCAGGGGCCCCACGCCCATCCTTTCCCTGCAGGGACCTCCTTCACCCCAATTCACGACTCAGGTACCCCCCTCACTGCAATTTCACTATTTAGGGTCCCACGCCCCATCCTTTCCCCTCAGGGACCACTCCTTGCCCTGATTCTCTACTCAGAGTCCCCTCAGCCCATCCTCTCCCCACAAGAACCTGCCCTCAACCCGATGTCACCACTCAAGGACCCCTTCCTCCATCCTCGCTACTCAGGGCCCCCTCATCTCATCTTCTCCTCTCAAGAACCCTCCTCCATCCTCCATCACTGAGGACCCCCCACCTCGATACTCAGAGCCCCCTCCCCCATCCTCACTGCTCAGGACCCCCTCCCCCACCCTCACTACCCAGGGCCCCTCTCTCCATCTTCTGGGGGGGACCCTCCATCCCATCCCTTCCTCTCAGGGATCCCTCCCCTTGACTTCTTTAATCAGGGCCCCCTCTCCTGACCTCACTATTCAGGGACCCCCACCACCCTGTCCTTTCCTCTCAGGGACGCACCCCTCCCCCTCCCCCCGTCCTTTCCTCTCGGGAACCCCCTCCTCCCTCATCCTTCAACACTCAGGGACCCCCTCCCCTCCCTCATCACCCAGGGCCCCCCTTTCCCCTCCCTCATTACCCACGGCCCCCCTCCCCATCCTTTCCTCTCGGGGATGCCCTCCCCCCTCCTCATCACCCAGGGGCCCCCCTCTCTGTCTTTTCCTCTCGGGGACCCCCTCCTCCCGTCCTCCATCACTCAGGACCCCCTCCCCCCTCCCTCATTACCCAGAGCCCCCTCTCTCCATCCTTTCCTCTCGGGGACCCCCCCCATCCCTCATCACCCAGGGCCCCCTCTCCCCATCCTTTCCTCTCGGGAACCTCCTCCCCCCTCCCTCATTACCCAGGGCCCCCTCTCTCCGTCTTTTCTTCTCGGGGACCCCCTCCTCCCGTCCTCCACCACTCAGGGCCCCCTTACCCCATCCTCGCTACTCAGGGCCCCCTCCCCCACCCTCACTACCCAGGGCTCCTCTCCCCATCTTCTCGGGGAGACCCTCCATCCCATCCCTTCCTCTCAGGGATCCCTCCCCCTGACTTCTTTAATCAGGGCCCCCTCTCCTGACCTCACTATTCAGGGACCCCCACCACCCCGTCCTTTCCTCTCAGGGCCCCC